GCGTTTGTCGTAAACTGTGGTGAGCAGAAGACCACGCCCAGGAGGGTCGTTACTGCTGGAAGACCTCTACTGCCATCCGCTGTAGAACGGAGAGAGTGGTCACAGGAAGCTGGATTGTGAGGAAGATTCCCTGTTCCCTGTTTTTAAAGCGCATTAGTTTCATTCATAAATACAGGTCCGCTGACAGGGTACTCTAGCACACACGCACTTTCTCAGGAATCCTTCAACAACTGTCAGTAGCAATCAGTAGTGGTCATTAGGGAAGCCAGTAATGTTACTAATAAAACAGCAGCTTTTCATATACCACATTTAATTGAAAACAAATGATTTTCAATAAGTCTGAAAAGTTTCACAGTTCAACTTTTATTTCACCATCGTGTCCACAATTACTTTATAGTTACATGAGTGTTGCTTTGCATATCAATTTCAAGATTGTATGATTTTTTTGCAAATTTTAATTAGGTTTTATTTCCGTGATATTAAAAAAAATGAAAACAAACTTAAAATGCAATCTTATTTTTTTTAAAAGCTGTTTTCTAATACCATTTTCTCTATTGTCATTCTTTCCACCGGGCTCAGGGAAACCTTCATTTTCCTCTCTTTTTTCTGTCATCTTCTTTCTTGTCTTCTTGCTCACTACCTGCAACATAGACAGACCCTCTGCTAGAATGAAGCATACAGGTTTGATGTTAGCTTCTTAAACAGCGGACAGCCTAATACACAGCATAATAACTGTAAATAGTTTCATTGTCTTGATTTCTGTTTTGATAATTCTTAAAACGTATTTGTGTCTATGACACTATAACACTATAATAATAGTACCTTGGCTGAGTACACCTAATAGCAGTATATTAAAATGCATTGCTTTAAACTAGGTTTATGGTCTGCTATAGCCATTCTCTGTAAGTGTTCTTTTAATGTTAATACAAATACAAAAGTTATAGTCTAATGGTCTCGTGGGCACTGAATAATTAAGTAATCACTGACTGTACACTGACTCAACATCGCTGACTGTTCATGTTAGTAAGCTGCCTGACAGTAATGAACACATGAATTGCCATAAAAAATAACTACCAACAAACTAAAAATATTTATTTTTTTAAATTAAGGAACAGTGCCATTGTGATATTCTAAAAATAAATTTTATCAGCCTGGGTTCACTGCCTGCACTACGTTCACCAAAATGGCTTGCTGACCTCATGGCACACCAGCTAAAAACCACTGGTCTTTAATGGTACTTGCTGTTAGTGTTGCTAAGCTATCTATTGGAACTTCTATTGATACAAATGATTGCTTGGAATAACTTTTAGTTGCCACAACATGAGGTCGTATCATTTGGAGATGGACCTACTGTTCAAATCAAATCAAATCA